AATAAGTAGTACTTTATTTCTCTTGTATTTATGGACAACTGAGGACTGTAAATGCTGTCCTAAAAATGGGAGCTGAAAAAGTGAAACTGAAGCATGAAAGATGTCTTGAAACATTTGAGTTTTCCCTTTGTAGACAGGGAAGACAATTCTAAGATATTGAGATCACAGATTCTAAACAGGACAATTCTAAGGTACTTTTCCCCCCCGCTCTCATTTAGTTACTTTTTTCTATGGGAAACCTCGTGACTGTAGAAAGAAGAAATAGATACCTTTGTAATAACATTTTTGATTGGAAAATTTCAGAAAATAAAGATTAAATTGTGCTGTATATTACTACCTTTTACTTCCAAAACAAAGGACAGAATGCAATGTACAAACTCGAGCTTTCAAACATTTGTGTTACACTTCCTGAGACTTCTCTACATACGGTTCTGGTCCCATTGTATTCCACTTGCCAGGAAGGCAGCTGCCAACACTCTCTAGAGTACGTTGGATCTTACTGAACAAATGACAGCTCTCCTGCAAGCCATTCAGAATTTTAAGACTGCAATGTCTCTCCTAGATACTATAAGGTTTAAAAATTATGATTGCTATCTACTAACATAAACTCAAATTGGTGATAGAGCAGATAAAAACATCGGAATCTGAAATATTTCAGATTTACTGCTTCTGCCATAAAAGCAGTGGGTTCTAAGAGAGTAGTCAGGATGAGTAGTGAGAAGAAATAGCAGACACTGCAGGTAAATTACAGCTCATGAACTAGAGCCCATATCGTTGTAGTATCAACCAGATTTTCACTTAAGTACCAAAGCACAAAGAGACAGTCTGAGGATAGGCACACATACTCCTCTACATCAAGACAAAACCCCCCAATATCTCCAAACATTCAACCCAGGAACGTTTTCTGACCTTTATATGACAAGTTTTACAATAGCAAACAAAACCAGCGAATATCTGCAAAATAATTTGCTTAGAAATCATTACAGAGGCTTTTACTTCCATTAACTAGAACAGAGAAAATATAAATAATAATATTGCCCAAAAATGTTAGTTCTAAATTTGCAAACAGTTTATTCATTTTTATTTTACCATTAAGCTCTTTCACTGTTTTTTGCCATCGTATATCACCAAATGATGGGAGTGTACTCTTTCCATCCACTAATGCATCATTCAGTGATGGAGTCTGGATTTTTTTCTTATATTTTTCCTTATTACTCGGCTTTGCAGTGCAGCAAACTAATTGTGCTCTTGCTTTGACTTGGAAAAATAACAACTAGTCAACAGATTCCTTTCTGCACTGATGAGTGTGAAGTGATGCGTATGGCAAAAAAACAATTTGGACCATTAACAATCACTAGTGAGATACTGGTGTTACACCAGCTGGATCAATTAAGCCATCGGATCAGTCCACAGTAGATGTCAAAAGGGCAAAATGAGTGTTAAGAATTATTAAAGAGGGACGGACAACAGTCAACACTCTCATACTGTTCCATAGACTTGTGTGCCCACACCTTGAGTACTGTGTGCAGTGTTGGTTCTCCCCATCTGAAAATTTAGAGAAGAGCAACAACGGTAATCAAGATACAGAACAGCTCCTGTAAAAGGAAAAGTTAAGCTGCTATTCTTCAGACTGGCAAGAGATGACTGGGGGTAATATAAAAGAGGTTTACAAAACAATGAGTACACAGAAGCATATTGGGTAGGGACTGCAGAGCATCAAATAAGCTAGCAATTGGCAAGCTGAAAGATATACAAAAAAGTACAAATACATACAATATCTAGCTAGGTTGCAGATATACTCACCACTGAATATTGCACAGGCTAGAATTTCACAAGGATTCAGCAGG